ACCCGCGGAAGCCGGCGGCACACACGCAGGCGCCGGTGATGGGGTTGCACAGGGCGCCGTTCTGGCACTGGCACCGGTTGCTGCAGTGGGGGCCCCAGTGGTCGCCGTCACAGCCTACGAGAGAGAGCACAGGCAGGTTGAAGGGAATCCGGGCTGGCCTGGGAAGCGGGTCAGCACCGACGCCCGAAGGCCACCGCGTGTCCACCACCCCTCCTGCCTCGGTGGGCTCCGCAGGGGGTCTGGGCAGCCGCTTTGCCCCTCAGCTATCCCCAGGACGCCCAGAGTCGCGGCAGCTGACACTGGCGGGGGACTCAGGCCCCTTCAGGTCTCTCCGCTCCCTAGGCCCTCTTCTGCTGCACGAACCGGGGTCAAAGCTGCTCCACTGAGGTGGTTGTCACTCTGTCCTCTCAGCCAGGCCTGTCCCCTCCCCATCTGCCAGCCCTCCTCTCTGTGACCCTCTCTGGGCCTCTTCTCCCTCCCTCCCTAGCTCAGCCCGGCTCCCCCTTCTCTGTGTCCTGCCTTCCCCCACCCCTTCGTGTTTCTCACCTCTGTCCCATGGGAACAATTCTTCTAACTCCCCGCCCCCGCCCTGGCTCCATCTTCCTCTCACCCTCCTGGTCTCTTTGTCCCTTTCAGTAATACCTATGGCCGCCCCTGGTCGCCTCAGCTTCAGGTCCATTTCATTACTTCCCAATCTGCCAGCTTCAAGAAGGAGCCGGAAAAAGAAATGCCTCCCCGGGAGGTGACAGACAGCCTCCAAGATCTTTACGTGTAATTAAACATTTCAAAGAGTGATAGCCGAACCAGCTCTGCAGAAATTCACACAACAGCTGAGCAAAGGGGCTGAGCGCTGGAGGCAGAGCCCAGGAGGGTCACCCACCCTGCCGCCACCTCACCTGGTGCCCCCAGGACACAAAAATGTCCGCAAAGGGCAGCCTCGCCGATGTGAATTCGGGCGTGGGGGATTCGGGCATGGGGTGGCAGAAATAATGTTCTAGAAGCTCAGCAAAGAGAAAGATTGCTCCCAGCTAAGGAGGCCAGGCACGGCTGCCTTGGAGAGGAGGCATCTCCGGTGTGCTGTGAAAGATGGCTCACTTGTCTGCCTGCAGTACTCGAAGTCCCGTGTTCTGGGAAGTCTCTCCGTCCCAGGAGAGCTGGAGAGTTTCATCACAGATGATCACTTGATCTCTGCGGCCGGGTTTGCACGGTTTAGGTACTCAGAGTATTATGGTTTAGACTGAAAATGTCCCCGAGGGTCCCATGTGTTTGGAAAGCGTTTGGGTCCTTGGGGCACTATACCCACCAGTGGGTTTATCCTTGTCCTCAGCTCCTCCCTTTTTGCCCTCTGTTTCCTGGTGGCCATGGAATGAGCAGCTGTCCTCCCACCGGGCCTCCACCATACCATTTCTACCGTGGTGCCGGCCGACCATGTACCGACCCCTCTAAACACATTAAGCAGAAATAAACCTCTCCTCCTTGAAGTTGTGGGTGTTGGGTATTTTGTCCCAGGGATGGGGAAGTGACTGAGACACAGAAAGTAGGCGTGGCAAGGTGCCAGCAGGGTAGCCTCTGTAAGACCAAAGGCAGTGGCACTTCGGAGCTGTGCATACAGGGGAGTGCAAGGTTCAGTGTGGCCGATGAGGCCGTGGGAAACGTGGCGGCTAAACAGTTGATGGAAGGGTCACACCATCAGCCCAGCGAACTCCACGTGTTCCTTCCACTAGCTGAGAGGGTCAAGCTAGGGTCAAGCGGTCAGTCCACCACCCTTTAACAAGCAGAACCACCAAGTCCTGGCATCCGTCTCCGTCCCTCTCTTCTTCATCTGTGCCCCAGCAATTCACACAACACACTGAGCTGGCCTGCGGTGGCCCAAAGATCTGCACCCCACAATGTCCACCTGGTATCACGGTGAGACAGAAGCCAAGTGCCTTTCTAGCGACAACCCCATTCACACGCATAGGACAGAGTGAGAGCAGCCCAGGTCTCCTACTCCACCCTCTCCCTGGGACACAAACCCAGGGAGTAGAAAGACTGGAAGAATTACCAACAGTAGCTTTTTTGTTTGTTTTGAGATAGGGTTTCACTTTGTACCCCAGGCTGGCCTTAAACACCTAGGAATCCTCCTGCCTCAGCCTCCTGAGTGCTGAGATTATAGCTGTGTACCATCACATCTGGCTGTAACATTTATCTATCTTTTCTTTGTTGCTAAATACATGTGGTGCACATAAATTAATTGTACATATGAAATGACTCCTGTAATGATGACCACAGTTTGAATGGCAGGTACTATCTGGGAAGTTTTACCTACATTAACAAAACTGAACCTGGGGCTGGGGAATTAGCTCAGTGGCACTGCACCTGCCTGGCAAACACAAGGTCCTGAGTTCGATCCCTGGTACCAAAACCAAAACCAGACAAAACCAAATCTGTGTAACCGTGTGATTTTGACTTTATTATTTTCCCATTCTGCAGATGGGGAGACTCAGAGCCAGAGGTTAAGGGACCGTCCAAGGTTATAGCAAGGGCAGGCCCAGGTCTTCTGCTTCCAGTTCTCTGCTGCAGCGAAACAGGGCATGAGCTGGAGGATACACCAAGTAGGAGGCCCCGAGGACAGGACGGCAGCTGCAAAGCAAAAGCCAGGGACACCACAGAAACTGCCACCTCCTCTCTGCGCAGCACTGTGAGCAGCCTCAGAATCCAGAGCAAGAAATGTCCTTTGTTCCCTGGACCACAGTCACTGCCCCAAATTTTGGGGTCCAGTTTGTGCTGGGAAAAGACGGGGCACTCAGTTCTGCTCTGTGGACTGAGTGTGCTCCATTCTCCCTGGCACTGCCAGAACCTGGCAGGAGGCAAAACCGCGTGTGTTTAACCCAGGAGTGTCCGACCTGGTGCTGTAATGAGGGGCATGTGGGCAGCGCAGAAACGGGCACACGCTGCTCTCGCATCACAGACTGGAGTGTGAGTGTGTACTTACACACACGTGTGTGCTTGTATCTGCATGTTGGATGAGGCTAAAAATAGGTGGCAAGGGCTGTTCTGTGAGAAACCATTGCAATGAACAGAAAATGTTTGTTGACTGAAAAGAAGTAAAGCTCTGTAGATCCATGAATACAGAGGCAAACATCCCCTCTCATGGAAAGTGACAGGAAAAGGCTACGCTCAGTTTAGAGTATTCTGACTAGGAGAGCAGGGAAGTGTATGATCCCGTCTGAAGAGATCTCTCCCCAGAGCGATTCACTGGGAAGAAAATGTTAGGGAGGGCAGGGATAAACTTCAGTCACTTGAAAACACCTCACTCCCCAGCAGGGACAGAAATGAGGCGGAAGGGCAGCAAGTCAATATCCTCTGGGGAAGGTGAACGAATCACAGCAGGGCGTCACATTGTTCCCTCGGTAACCGGACTGCCATCCAGTGTGGCCTGGGACTGTCGTCACCTTCCCCTGTCTTGCTGCCTTTGCCTCCCACAGTCTCTCATTCCTAATTACACCTGCCTTCGGCTGATTTTTCAAGTGGCTCTGCGTCTCTGAGAAGCTACTGGAGGCTTAAAAGAGCAGCAGGAAGGGTGCGGCCTGACAGCTTGGCCCCTTCGGCTCTGGGACCTCGGCCTGTGAGTTCCTGGGTCCCCTGGGGTGTGACTCTCCACCACCGACTTGAGCAGGGATGAGCGTTCTGATTTGTAACTACAGTGAATGTGGCTGATCGATCAGTATTCTTGTCCTGAACACATGGTAGAGAGGCTCAGGTTACATAACTTGTACCAGGCCGCACGGCTGGGGAGTGAGTAGGAGTCTGCTAACACCTGCTGTCCTGCTGGGTGCAGCCTGGCATTGATGGAAGGGAGACAGCAGCCACCCTGGCACATGCAGAGGGAGAGAGCGGAGTTTCCAAAGATCCTTGTGCAGGGACAGGTCCGTGGGTCCGTTTTCCCTGACACAGGCTATTTCCCCTTGTCTAAGTTACTTCTTTCATTGCTGAGACAACATACCCAATGATCAAAGTTGAAGGAGGAAAGGCGTATTAACACAGTGCGCAGAGGCTTCAGCCCATAGCTGGCTGCTTCCAAGGCAGGGCGGCACGTGGCAGAGGGGTCCCAAGAGGAGAAACAGTTCACAGCGGGCACATGACAACAAAGCTGGCAAATGACAAGACCAGCCACGGCCATAGCTCTTTGTACCTTACCCAGGCTACCTGCCCTCACCCTTTGTTTGTTTGTTTTAGTGTTTTGTTTTGTTTTTAACTTTATTAACTTTATTTTCAAATCTTTTCAATTTTCTTCTTATTTTTTACACCAAAAAAAGGCATCAATACTTTTCATTCCACTCTTGTCAACTTTAGCCAAAGCCTGCTGAGCTGCAGTCATTTTGCTATTTTTCTTTTTGGCCTTCAGATCTTTAGTGTTAAACTTAGTGTAGTCTTCTTTTGCTTCTACTGGCTCATCTGAAATCTTTAGTCTCTTTGATGGAGGGCTTGGCGTTGAAGATGAAGTTTCTGGAAGCTTTAAGTATTTAGATAAAGTCATCACTTAATTCTTTAGGGATGTAATCAGATATCAGACCATGGGCATAATGAATAAAATCCTCTTCCGTGTCACTGGAGATCTGGTCACTGGAGAAAAATGCAGCTGACTGTCCTGGACACCAACACTGACATGATTGGTTTTTAATGCTGCCACTGCCTGATTAACCTTTTTTTTTTTCCCCCAGCCACTTTAATGTCCTCTCTTTGCTGTACTTGCAATATTTCTTGTTGTCTATTTCTTTTTCTTTCATTACATGACAAAAATAACTGCTCAAGTTCAGGAAGTTTCAGGAACAAGATGCAATTTGGAGCTGGGCATGGGGGCGCACGCCAGTAATCCCAGTGCTCGGGAAGCTGAGGCAGGAGGATCGCTGTGAGTTCAAGATCAGCCTACACAGTGAGTTCCAGGTTAGTCTCAACTACATAGTAAGATGCTGTCTCAAAAAAAATAAAAATAAAAAAACATAAAGAAAAGAGGCAAAAAAAAAAAAGGTGCAATTTGGAAACACATCATCCACCACAACAACTTGATCCAGGGCCTGAAACTTTCCCTCTTTGCCAGCTTTCATGAGGCAAAGGAGGAGCAGAAACAGAGG